CATGTCCCACGCAATGCTTGGATGATGCGCTCAAGAGTGACGACTTCAAACCCGCCCACTCGTTGCGCTTGCACATTGCTCAACAATGCTAGTCCTGGAGATGCCACGTTGATTCCGGGGTCAGCAGGAATTCACTGGGCGGGCGATACAGGTAGTTCACCGGAGTATCTTGAGGTTGGCCTCTCTTTGGCTGTTACATCAGGCACATCAGGCACGACATAGGCATTCAGTTTGCGCCATTGCAGCCTACCTGTGGACTCAACGGGCCCAATCACTTTTTGTATGGGAAAAATATTCCTCCTTCTTCCAGAAGAGTTGTCAAAGATGACGCGGCGAAGACTGAGACAGACCTGGGAAAAAGGAAAAGTGAATCCGAGAGACACAGAACTGAGAGAGGAGGAAAGGACGCCGCCGCCCTAAAAGAGTCGTCACAAGAACCACAGCAGGAGGACATGTTCAAATCCTACTGTCTACTGTGCATCCTGTACTGGGACACTAGACCCATTTTCCAGATGTTGCCGCTCCCTACCAATGGAGCAGAGCAACCGACGACCTTACTAGCGGAGGCTGCTCATACCACCCCCCCTAGTAGGCAGAGTCGGTTTCTTTTTATAAAACAATAGCAGGACAAACCAGCAAACTCCAAATCAAAACTCCACACCTGGCACGAAGCGATTTGGGCTGCAGCTCCAACTCTCTCTCTCTCTCTCTCTCTCTCTCTCTCTCTCTCTCTCTCTCTCTCTCTCTCTCTCTCTCTCTCAATCGCGCGCGCGCGCGCACGCTCGCTCTCGTGTCCCCAGTGAAGCACCTGCAAACAACAGGTCCTTACAATGGCTCAAAGACGATATTGATGAAATGTCGGATAATACATTGCCTAACGATATGAATCGATATGGAAAAAAAGACGGCTCAGACAGGCCAGAGAAGAGGGGGACAGAATGGACTTTTTTCTTTTTTCTTTTTGTACAAGGAAAACTCAGCTCATTTTATTACCAAAGAGGGGGACGTCCGGAACCCTCCACACAGGAGGACAGCCGGTAGCCCTGTGGAGACAATGATAATTTTTATTTTTTTTTCGTGGAGACAATGGGAACTCGAAAGGCCTTCAAATTAGAACCAGATTGGTCCTCACACCTCAAGTTCAAGCGCTAGGCCTTTCACAGATTGCACGGCTGGCCTCGGAAGCCCCCCCTCCACAGACCCAGCAATCTGGTTGGAAGATAGATACTGGAGGCTACCACGTAGGGCTCGCGAGGATTTCGGTGGCTCAGAGTTGCGGCACGACCTTGCCCTTGACGACTTCGGCCCCGGTTGTTGAAGGCTTGGAGGAAGCTACCCCCTCCACTCCGACCGGCCCCGGTATGTGCAAGCAAAATCCTGTTACGAAGAACTGTATGCAAAAAAAAAAAAACTACCACGTAGGGCTGGCGAGGATTTCCGTAGTTCAGAGTTGCGGCACGACCTTGCCGTTGGCGACTTCGGCCCCCGTTGTTGAAGGCTTGGAGGAAGCTACCCCCTCCAGACCGACCGGCCCCAGTATGTGCTAGCAAAATCCTTTTATGAAGAACTGTATGCAAGGATAAAGAACTATCACGTAGGGATCGCGAGGGTTTCCGTAGTTCAGAGTTGCGGCACGACCTTGCCCTTGACGACTTCAGCCCCAGTTGTTGAAGGCTTGGAGGAAGATACCCCCTCCAGACCAACCGGCCCCAGTATGTGCTAGCAAAATCCTTTTATGAAGAACTGTATGCAAGGATAAAGAACTATCACGTAGGGATCGTGAGGGTTTCCGTAGTTCAGAGTTGCGGCACGACCTTGCCCTTGACGACTTCAGCCCCGGTTGTTGAAGGCTTGGAGGAAGATACCCCCAAAATCCTTTTACGACGACCTGTACGCAAGGATAAAGAACTCCCACCCCAACTCCAGCACACATTAAGAAAGCCGGAGGCAAGACGCTTCAACCCCTGACAAGATGCTCTCAAGAGAACTAGTCACAGCTTTAGACGAACCTCTCTCTATCGATGCATCGTATTTTGTGGTGCTCAAAGAAATGAACAATGATAAGACTCGAGGGATTCGAGCTTCCTTATTGAGCTTATGTTGTGACAGGCATGTTGAGAGTTTTTTTAAGCCTCTGGAAATATCGTGAAATTGAGGGTCTCAAGCCCGATACGCATCGTAATTATGAATGTCAGCTATGATGATTCTGACTGAGAACTCAACCCGAGAGCTCTTTTATTGGATGTGTATTGGGTGTGTCCCGGCCGGCCGTAGCAGGACCTAAGCAGCCACTTCCACCACTTGGCCCGATGCTCCCGCATTGCAATGGGTTACAGGGCGGCACAACTCGGCCCAGCGATTTACCCATGTTGATCAGCCGTGGCCACCAATCCTTCTCAGGCCACTGAAAGTGACGGCAACGGGAATAGAACCGAGGAGCACCTACGGCTGCAAAAAAGATGGGTATGGGATAATTCCTTAGCAGCAGTGTAGTGACTCGTCTTCTGTACAAGAAAGAAGATAGGGATGCCATCAAGAACTATAGACCGAGGATATGCCTCCTGATCCCACCGTACAAAATCCTAGCAAAAGCACTAGCATTTAGGATGCTGAACTGTGCGGACTGTGCGGACAAGTTATTGTTTTTCCCCAAAGCCAAATTCTTCTCTCAATTTCCCCTTTGACTATGCTTGCAGGGGTCCCCTACATGGACAAGGGTGACCAGGCTTGTTTCATTCCAGGAAGATACATTTTTTGTATGAAGTGCAAACACTGAATATTTTTTTTTGTATGAAATGCAAACAGTGCCAAACACTTAATGTTTTTTTTGTATGAAGTGCAAACACTGAATGAAGCCTTCCAACAGGCAGTGAAAAAGATAACTCAAACAGCTATCACATTCTTTGACTTTGAAAAAGCATATGGCCATATAACCATATAAATTGCACCTTTTCTTTTTTTTGCGCCTTCCTCAACGTGTGTAAGGAGAAGATGCAAGTAGGCCCTAACTTCAGGAGAGGGATAAGAATATCATATTTGGATACCATGGGCTGTGTAGTACGTACAAATCAATGGACTGATATTAGACTGCTACCCTATTTCCAGATCAGTGAGGCAGGGGGAGTAGTCGGCTAGCCCCACTGATGTACCTCTTTGTCATGGAAGCAATTGCACCCTTTTTTTTTTTTTTTTCCAAGTGTGACGGCCTTGAGATATCATCATCGCAGCGGGGTTGCACACATCAGTGCCTTTTTTTGTTTTTTTCTATCTATCAATCAATCAACCAATCAATCAATCAATCAAATCTTATTTTTTCCCTTTTTCAGTTTTTCACCAAAAAAAATTAAAAAGTCTTTTCTTTCCCCCCAAATACTAGGGAGGTCCCTGCCATTCCCACCACCCCCCCAGACGCTCAAAACCTCCATGGCACCTTCCCCCAAGCCACCTGCAGCATAGTACGGGGCCTTTCAGAACGGCCGTTTCGCCGGCCGGGTAAGACAGCCCATCCATAGAACACAGCTGGAACAGATCATGACTCTGCATTTCCAGTGTCAATTATATTCACAGGTGATTTAACTGTTTCAGTTTGCGCCACCGGCACATACTTTCGATCACTGGTCAGAGCGCTGGACACCTCTAGACTGGCCTCAGCGAGAAAAATACATTGGCACCAAAAAATGTCAGATGGCACAGCTTGCAGAGGGACCCAGTCTTCAAACCTTAACCTCACGATGACCAGAAAGCCTAATGCAGGTTATGAACGACGCACCAGCCCTGCAAATAAATGGCTCAAAACCGGCGGGTAAAAAATACCATCCACCCAATGGGCAGATGGAGTCTGTCCATTTCACAGCTCTGCCGGGCAGAGCTCTATACGAATCAACAGAGAGAATTTTCTCCATGACGTGGGTGCGCTCGTATCCCCACAACTAGCAGTACCAGCTGAGTTAAATTAGAAAAAAAACGAAAGAAAAAAAGTTCCCAGTATACAGAGGTAGGGAAAGGCAGGGTGGAAGTACCAGGACACTCGGTTCTTTAGAAGTCTCGGCGGACCGTGTAGGAGAGTGTGTCGGGATAGGCGGACAAGGTCCAATGGGCCGTGTTTAGTCCCAGAGGCCGCGTTAGGCCCAGTAGCCCTGAGGGTGAGACTAAGAGTTATTAAGTATATAATTTGTTGAAGCGATAGAACCAGATATCTATGTCAGCTGTTTGTTGGATGTAGAAGAGGGAGGGAGGAAGATTGTTTGTTTTTGATTCCCTCCAGAGAGAATACTAGGCAAAAGACCAGAAAGACAAGGGTTTGTATAATAGAGATAGAGGAGGGTGAGAAAGGAAGGAAAAAGTTTCTTTGCCCGTGAGAGAGGCACGCATGAAGACCCCGGGGGGACGGCAGACATGGGAGGAGCGTTGGTACATCCTTTTCAGTTTTTCAAAACAATTAATGGAAAACACCTAGTACTGCAAAAATATTTCCAGCAACCCAGGAGGGCTGCGACGACCTCCTAACTAGGGCATCATTACAGGGGTAGATCAGAAATCTGTCTCGGGGTCCTTCCACTATAATGGAAGCAATCAATGCCGCTGTCTTCGGGTCCTTCCCAGAAAGGAAGCAGTCAACGCCGATGTCTCAGGGTCCTTCATTCATGATGGAAAGGAGCATGGAGTTGGTCTTGTTGTAATAAACGCTGGGGACCCAGTTCCCGGTCATTACAAGAAGGAAAAAAAATAGAGAGAGAGAGAGAGAGAGA